TCCGTCAAGACTCTCTGAAAAGTGGAGCATTTTGACAGGGTAAAGAATGTCAAAAAGTAGTTGTGCATCATAGCTTGTGCCTGTAATCCCAGCACTCAGGGAGGCTGACGCAGGAGACTTGCAAGACTCTGTCTCAAAATTTTAAAAAAATTTAAAAAGAACTGGAGATATAGTTCAGTGGTAAAGCACCCCTGGATTCAGTCCTGTAGGAGGAAAAAAGTTAAAAAGCTACTTAACATGTTTGAAATTCATTGAATAAAAGACACTTCTAGTGCCACCATGGAGGCTTTCACGAACTAGACTTACAGAATTGCTTCCCTGTTCTTTCTTCTTTCCTCAAAAAGTTGCAGGAAATTTTCTCCCTTATTCCTTATGTATTATTTGACTCTTTAGTGCTATTTTTTAATTGGAGGAAGTAAACCTTTCATAAATCCTTCAGGGCTGGGTTGGTTTATGTGGTGGACCAAGGATCTCCCTTCTCCAGGCAGGAAACGGGACATGGGAGGCTGACCCTGCCCTCCGGACATTCTTAGCCCTCTAGTCAGTGATTGGTCAGGAGTTCTCCCTGAAGCCAATCAAAACAGGGCACTGGCACCTGTGAAGGGCTGTTATTGGTCCAGCTGTGAACTTAGCTAACTGGCCCGATCAGACTAAAATGAAGGACTTACATCCTATCCTTTGGGAAGAAGAAGAAGGGGAAGCCTTACTTCAGCTGTTTAGAGTTTAGAGTTGGACAGAAGTATCAGTCCTACACCTCAAGAGGATACATGAATTACTGAATATACTCAAAGAGTCTGCTGTTAACTGTGGATAGTTCAAAGACAATGAGAGATTACACTGTGGTTAAAGCTGATACCTTCCTTCCTCTCTGGAACTTAATATTCAGAAGTTGTAAATGTAAAACTTTAGCACACAACTCCTCTCTCCCAAGATCCTGCCAGGAAGATGGGTGGAGAAGAAAAACAGTTAAAATATGACAAAAGTTAGAATTAAATTTGAAGAGTTTTCTAGAATCCAGACCAGGATATGAGCAGGGAAGGCATCTTAGAAGAAGTAAGTCCTGAGCTGGATTTGATTTAAAAGGTGTGTAACAGAGGCAAGGGGCAGGAAGTGGTTCCAGGCAGAGAATAATACAGCAATTCAAAGAAAGTCTTTTTAACAAAAGGTGCTGGGACAACTGGAGAACCATATACAAAGGGATGAAACCAAATCCCAACCTCACACCATAAATAAAAATTAACACAAAATGGATCAAAGACATAAATGTATGAGATGAAACTGTAAGAACCTTAGAGGAAAATAGGTTAGACAATGATTTCTTAGCTATAACACTAAAAACATAAATGACAAAAGAAAAAAATAGGTTGGATTTCATCAAAATTACACTCTTGTGCTGAAAAGATCCCATTAAGAAAGTGAAAAAATAATCCAGAGAATAGTGAAATTATTTGCAAATCATATACCTGATACATGGGACTACTACCCAGAACACATAAAAAATGTTTACAAGTCAGTAATACAAAGAGAAATAATTCAAGTGAAAATGGCCAAAGGACTGGGAATAAACATTTCTCCAGAAAAGATGCACAAATGGTCAATGAGCACAGAAACAAATGCTCAACATCATTAGCTCTCCAAACCAAAACCCAAGGAGCTACCACTTTGTACTTCCTAGGATGGTTATAGTAAGTGTTGACGAGACATTGAAATATTTGCTTGCAGGAACATAAAACCATATTTAACTATTTTAGAAAACACATTAGAATTTTCTTAAAAAGTGAAACATAGAATTACTTATGACCTAGCAATTATACTCATTGGTCTACACCTAAAAAACTGAAAATAGGTACTCAAACAAAAACTTATACACATGTTCAAAGCAGTATTTTTCCAAATGACCCAGAGCGGAAATAACCCCAAAGTCCATCAATGATGAAGGGGTACCTAAAATGTGGTCCATTCACACAATGGAATATTGTCTAGAAATAGAAAGGAATTAAGTACCAATATATGCTACAACGTGAGAGCATTATGCTAAGTCAAACAAGCCAGTGACAAAAAGACCACATAATGTATGATTGCTTTTATATGAAGTATCTAGAATAGGCAAATCCATAGAAAGCGAAGAGATTAGTGGCTGCCTAGGACGTGCTGGGGCTGGGGTGTGATTTGAATAGGACTCGACTGCTGACGGAAATGGATTTCCTTTTTGGAGTGATGAAAATTTTCTAAACTTAGCTCAAGGTGTTGGTTGCACAGCTCTCTAAATAAACTAACATGACCACACCATATGCTTTGAATAGTGAGTTTACGACGTGTGAATTCTGCATCAATAGACAGGCAGTGCCGGCACAATGCAGGTGGCAAAAGGAGGCAGGCGAGAAGGGTAGGAGCCAAGACACAGAGTCTTGTGGGCCAGACAAGGAGCCCAGGTGTGCGCTTGGAGTTAACGGGAAGAAAGCAGAGTTTTAAGGAGGGAAGCAACACAGCAGGTTGGGGTTTAGACATGCCGTGATGGCTGCGGCGTGCCTGACGCGGGAGGGCCGGGAAGGAGCTGCGGAACAGGGCCATGGGGGGAGCAGAGGATTCATGAGCACAGCCTTGGCTCACGAGTCCTCTTCTAGGAAACACAAGCACCACATACTCTTACAAACACAGTCCTTGCTCTCAAGTAACTCACAATTTAGGCCAAGTGAAGAGATGCTCACATGCATTATGACACCAGAGGGAGGCTGGCGAGCGACAGAGAAGCTGCAAAGCACAGACCATCAAGCCTCTCTCCCTTGAGCTTGGCTGCTATTCCAATATGCATCTCTGCCATTAAAGCCACCTGGTCAGGTCCCAGGTCCCACCCTTCCACAAACCGGGTATCCAGATCGTTAGCTTTTTTTTTGAGACAGAATCTTGTTATGTAGTTCAGGCTGGCCTTGAAATCACTACATAGCCCAGGCTGACCTCAAATTACTCCTGCCTCGGCCTCCCAAGTGCTAGGATTGCAGGCGTGTACCCTATGCCTGGCTAGCTTGTTAACACTGGTCACCATGTGCCCTGGACCAAGTCTTCTCTCCTTTAGGCCAAAGAAATGTTTCCACCCCTTCAGTGGGTACTCAGGGATGTGGTCTTGAGTCTCTTCTCTGGTCTTTCTCAGATGTCACCAGGATTCTTTCAGAGAACCTTCAAGAGCAGTGGCCACAAGAACCAGAGCCTCTGCCTGACCACGGCTGGGACCAGTGCGTCTACTAAGGTAGCTTACAGGAAAAGATGACTGTGGGCAGCCAGTCTCTAAAACTGCCATGTGAATTTCCTCTAGGAAGGGCATTGAGGAAACATTTCCATACTGTGCTTGTGAAACCGGGTGCTCAGCTCTTGCACCAGCGAGCCCCACCTCTCGTACCCGTTAACGCGGACTCCAGAGCAGTTCATTTGTGGTCGGTCAGATGGTCAGCAGTACGCTCAATAGATGTGCAGGAAAGTAAGCCCCACGGAGAAAGCAGAAAAGTGCAGCAAGGACACAAAGGGAAGAACTCATAGCACATCTGCAAGTCAGACCAAATGCCACTATTTTCGGTCTTTCCCAGGAGACAAAAACAAAACAAAAACCAAAGACAGGATGACTAAAAGCATGATTCAGGACAGCGGTGAAGGGTTTTGGAATTGAACGGGTTTGAAGGAGGCCTCCGCCCAGGCAGACTGGAAGAAGAGGGAAACACAAGCAAAGCACAATGTGCTAATGGAGAGAAACGAGACAAGGAAGCGAACATCTGTGGACCGAAGCAGAGAGCAAGAGGAAGCCCCTGCCATCAGCAGGAGCCCTGTGCAGGAGCCCTGACTAAGCTCTTCATGGACGCGTTTATACCTCTCTGTCCCACAAAAAGGTTGAGGCATTTAAAGCAGAAACAAATGGGACCGAGACAAGGAGCTCCGTGTACATGATCTCCTCCAGCTCTGAGGAATGCCCTGTTACACAGACGTGGTTGTCTGCATCTCACAGCGGAGAGAACTGGGTCTCCAAGCAGCTTCGCCACTGTGTACGGTTTCACGGCTGAGCCATTTCGGCTCTCGCCTCTCTGCCTCACACCGCCTTCTCGCTTCTCCAAGCAGAGGGCTCAGGAGCTCGGCCTCTGAAGCCACACCACGGACCGTGACTCCAGTCCTGACCCCACTACTTCAGCTCCTTCCTCCCCGGGTCCTCAGGGGCCCCAGCGGTGAGGTGCAGATGACTACACACCTCTAACCCGAGGATGACCAAGAGAGTTAAACGACTTAACATCACTAAAGTGCTTCTAAGACAGTCCCTGGCACACAGCAAGCACTAAAGCAGGTGAACTAACAAAGTTAATTAAACTAGGAGCGGACTTGAGCAAGTAGCTCAACTTTCCAGGCCACTGTCTATACGACAGAGATGACACTGGGATGTCCCCAGTCACAATGATGATGATTAAGAGAGCTTAATCATCACGTACAGCATCTACACATGGCAATTACCGTCCTTAACACACTACCTTATTTAAAATCATCTCTTCTTTCACCCTGAGCTGAATGTTGTTGAAAGAACAGTCATCAGTGAAATTTGCATTTCATATGCCAATCAATTTAGAAAAATGAATGTCAACCGAAAGAAAAATCTTGAAAATATAATGTGAAATCATTCAAACTAAAAACACAACCCAGCAAGGACAAGTGCTACAAAGAGACTTTCTCCATTGCCTGAGAACAGGCCAAGCAGCATCCAGGCAAGTGAACTCCAGGCAGGTGCCCAGTGCAGACCGGGTGGAGGCAGTGGGAAACGGGCCGGCAGGGCTGCAGGGAGATGAGCCGGTTGGTTGTGCTCTGGGGAAAAGGATGCCTTTGGTTTTGGAGTGCTGAGAGTAAGTATGGTATTTTCCCTTCCGTTTCAAACTTCCATTCACGTATCTTTGTCACACATTAGAGACGATATCACAGCCTACGTCTGTGCTTGGTAATCTTTTAACTTAAACCACATCAATGGAACAGCTAACCTTTATGCGGTCAGGGTCCACATAGTGCTTTTTTTTCATGTCACATTCTTCAGAGGTGTAATTTAACTTGAGGATATAAAGGATCCACACTCCAAGCACAAGCAATGCACATCTGGAAAAAATATCAATCAGGTATAATAATGCAGTCATGTGATAACAGGAGAAAAAAATGTGAGATAAGTGGAAAAAGAATCCAGACAGAGCTTGCCTGCCACGTGGCACAAAAGTACAATCAGTAAGGTCACCTCAGCGTAAAAAGAAGATGCCAATTCCTACAGATTCTCTGGCAACTCTTCTTCAGAAAGGTACCACAGTGAAATCTAAAGCACAGTGCAGATTACTGAGCTGAGAAACAAATCATAGATCTGAGCTACAGAATGTCAGTTTTTTTGCTTCTTTAGGAATTTTTTTGCTTTCTTTACCATTCCTTATTAAAACAAGAAAAAAGCTACTTACGGTATTTCTAAAGAATTCTACCTGGAAATGAGACTGACTGAAATGAGACAGCACTACCCGAAGACCATCTGAAAACCCCTTGTTAGAGAGCTGATAATTTACACTTACACCATTTCACACACATGTGCACACGTACACATGGGATGCGGAGAAGAGAGCCGAGGTTACTGATGGTTCCCGGAATCTCATTTTTATTAAGCTTCCCAGTGATACAAACTAAAGGTTAAAAAAAAGTTTCAACCACAGTTTAAGAACTACTGCTTTAAATATCCTGCATTCTTGGAAAACAAAAAGGCAGGGAATAATTGTAAGGGGAATATAGTATGTTTTCTAAAGAAAGGGGCAGTTTTAAAAATAAAGCAGCGAGCATAATATACTGCCCATAACTCATGCTAAATACTGGGGATTTCAGGATGAGGATGTCAGGGAGTGTGGGTAGGAGTAGTCTTTTGACTTTTGGCTGGGTGTGGTGGTGCACACCTGTAATCCCAGCACTCAGGAGGCTGAGGCAGGAGGATTGCTGGGAGTGTAAGGCCAGCCTGGATTACATATTGAGACCTTGTCTAAACTCCAACTCCTCCATAAAAAGATGTTTGAATTCTCATTTCAACAGCTCTCCATAAAAACCTGGACATACATTTTAATTTTTCTCTGGGATTGAGTATACATACTGTTAAATGAACAGAATACTACCATTTATATATAAAAATGGGTTGGTTGAATGGGGAAGACACATGCACACACATACATGAAACTAGTAACACTGGTCATTTTTAGGAGTGAAGGGACATCTGGGTGTGGTGGCGCACACCTGTAATCCTGGCATTCAAGAGACAGAAGCAAGGAGATTGCTGCAAAGTTGAGACCAGGCTCGGCTACATTGTGTGTTCAAGGCCAGCCTGAACTAGTACTGTGTCTCAAAAAACAAAAAATAAAATAGAGTAAAATAAAAAGAAAAACAAAAAAAAAAAGAACAGAAGGGAAATGTGAGTGTGGTGGCACACACCTGTAATCTAAGCACTTTGGGAGGCTGAGGCAGGAGGACCACAAGTTCAACTCCAGCCTGGGTAACTTAGCAAGATCCTGTCTCAAATAAAAAAAGAGGGGCTGGGGATGTTGCTCAGTGCAAAGGCTGTGCGTTCAGTTCCCAGTGGCAGCCCCAAACCACACACCCCCAAACCACACACCAGAAAAGTGGAAGGAAATTATGGGCAGGTAGGCAGGAGAAAACATTTTAACTAAGTCCCTTAAATATCTCTGCAATTTTGAATCTTGAAAACTCAGTAGCACCTTTTCATCTCTCCAGCCCTGGGTGTTTTATATTTAGTGCATGTAATACTTTCTTTGTCTTGATTCCTCAAGGGAAGTTTAAGAAAAAGGTATTAAAAGCAAGCCCGGTGTCCACAGCCTGTGTCCCACACTCATGTACCCTGGCACGAGTCTGTTTTGTCCACACCACTGACAGACGGGGCCCAGGTCTAGCTTATCTGCAGCCACATGGCTGGCATCCGACACCACACCAGGCAGGCTGCAGGCCTCTATGGACGCTGGCCAGGCACTGCAAGGAAATCTTTATTCACATGTGTTTCTTCATCTTTTCCTTCCATATCTCCTGAATTAGTAAACTGAAGTCAGGGACTAGATGTTAGGGCTGGATTTCTATCTTTTCTTCCTAAAGATTTTCTATATTGAGACATCTTTAGAATTTTCAAATTCTAAAAGTCTTAGTTTGGCTGGAATAAAAAAGAAAGCCTGACACATTCCTCTACTAATTCTACAACTTACTAAGATATGAGGGTGACCTGGGTGAAACACCCGTCATCTTTCACTATTTAATGGTATTCAAGCACCCTCAGGGTCTTCAATCATGTTTACAGGTTAGCTTAAAACAGCTAAGGGAGAAAGCTCTGCACCAAGAGCATGTTGTGCAACTGGGGATCCTGGCCCAGCTACAGACACTGGGCGTGTGCACCTGTTCTTCTGTGCACTTAGTCTTTCCCAGGCTGTGCCTTCAGATGATCCTTTGGCCAAGTAGACTCCTCTCGCACCTGCCATGTGCAGGGCTCTCAGTGAACTTTCCTTGGGATTCTATACCATGGACCTAACCAGGGGTGATCATAGGACCCCGAGGCTGGTACATACTTGAGGATGTCTTTTAAGAGCAAGCTGGGTCTTCGCATCTTGTTCTCAGCGCAGGTGTACCATTCCAGGAAAGTCCTTGAGCAATTACTTCTCAGTCTCGCAGAACTGTAATCATGTGGCATTGCTGTGAAGAGACAGGGAGAGGGCAGTGAGCGAAAAAAAGGGGAAGCCTTAGACGATTATGCTTTTAAGAGACAGACTTTAATGTGATACGACTACAGCATGTACTACTACTTGGAAGTGAAACATCTTTTTGCTTTGTGTGATACTGGCGGTCTAACCCAGTGTCTAGTGCATGCTAGGCAAGTGCTCTACCACTGAGCCACATCTCCAGCCAACGGATGAGCTCCTGACACACACACACCACGGATGAAACTAAAGGGAATTTTGCTGAGCTGATACTAAAAAGCTTACATAGCCTATGATTCCTAACATTCTTGAAACGACAAGATTATGGAAATGGAGAACAGGCTAGTAGGTGGCAGGGGTTATAAAGGAAGGAAGGAGGGAGGTGTGGCTGTAGGAGGACACTGTGAGAGATCCTGTGGTGACAGAAATATTTCCCATAGCTTGACTGTATCATGGCAACATTTCAGTTGCGATATGGGACTAGAGCTTTTGCAAGAGGCTATCCCTGTAGGAGATTGACTCAGGGATACAGAAGACATCTCTGAATTATTTCTTACAAATGCATGGGACTCTATTTAATTGCTTGGAAGACCCTTTACTTTTCAGAGATACATTCAGAAATGTATACAGACGAAACTGCAGATGTGAAATCTGCTTCAAAAACAATCAGGAAGGGAAAAGTGAAGTGCAGGGAAAAGTGCCGAGACAAGATTAGCTTTCAACTGGCAATTCAAATCCAGGAGATGGGCACACAGGGCTTACTCAATGATATGCTTCACTTTTGTTTATATTTGAAATTTTCCATAATAAAAAGGTTTAGAAAGAGTTATACTAAAGACAGCTAGGCATGGTGGTACACACCTGTCATCCCAGCACTCAGGATGCTGAGGCAAGAGAACTGTCCTAAATTAGAGGTCAGGGCCAGGGATACAGCTCAGCAGCACAAGCACTTGCCTGGCAAGTGCAAGGTCCTGAGTTTGATTCCCAGTACCAGAAAAAAAAAATTCATTACTTTTCCCCCTTAGAATTTTGCCATTTTCTTTGGAAAAAAGTCCTGTTATTGTAAACTAAACAAACATTCAAGTATTTCTGGGGTCCTCGGTGGTAGAGAGCTTGCTTGCAAGCATGAGGCCCTGGGTTCAGTTTTCAGCCCCAAATATTTTTAAAAATCCCAAGGCAACATGTATTTTTTTCTTCTTCTTTCTTTTTTCCTTGCTACTGTAAACAAGCTCCTCCCCAACTCCAATTCTAACTATGAAGCAAGATTTTTTACCCATTCTAGACTGCAAAAATTTTTGTCCCCATGTATCATTCCATTTGAGCAGTTTTAGAAAATAGTGCCAAAGACCTTATTAGGAAACCTTGCTGAAGAATCTACTGGATTCTTAAATGAGCATTAGAACAACTGAGACTGGGAAGGTTTTCAGACACCACAATTCTGAGGTTACCTAACGTATGTAGCTAAGTGTGGTGGGAGCGGAGGACTTCCCACAGCCAGTGTACATATAAAACTGAAGTTTCTGAGATGTCTGAGTTTTTATAACCAGAATGATACTCAAATCACACCAAGCTGGGCTTCCACAGAGCAAAGCTGACCAAGAATCCAGGCTTTGGGCTCTGCATGCTCTGCTCATGAACTCGGTAGCACAGATGACTCTTGGTCCTGCTCTGCCCCTTGGACTATTAACCTGTGAACTACATTTCCCAGACTCTCTTGCCAGATTGCTTCCTGTTAAGCTGTGGTCCTGGGATGTGTGGGAAGACTGGAAGAGGGAATCTGTCTGTTCCCTTGATTTACAGGAGCAAAAGCAACAGGCAATGGAGGGCACTGAGGGTGTCCACCAGTGACACCAGGAGCAGTAGTGAGTGTCCAGGATCCCACTTTCTACATGGCAAGAGCCATGGTACATCCACAGTTTTGCAACAAATAAAATGTGCTTCAGCCCAGGATTGGCAGGGGCTTCCTGATCATTGGAGAACACTTCCTTCTGACCTTGGTGTCTTCCAGCCTTCCAACACCTTTCCAGGCAATTCCTGCACCAAAGCCCACTCTACCTGAATTAAGTACAGTAGTTTCTATTTTCTTGCTGGATACTGACTGGTCTATCAGATGATGGCTTTTTTGCCCTACAGGCAAGTGGTATCAAGTAATGACAGGAGTGGCTCTGGGGACCTGTTTGTTCCCACCACCACTGCCATGCCGCGGTGGGTTTGCTTGCTTGTTAGTCACCTGGAGGAGCTCAGGAGGGCTACAGGAACATGGACCTGAATTCCCACAATGTGTTCAGCTTCTCTGCCTCCCACTATAAGGTTTAGGACAAGTTACTCTCTCTGTAGCTCAGTGTACTCATCTGTAGCCTGGATATAACATTATCTACCTCACTGGGGTGAAGCTCTAAGAGCAGCTTCAAGTGTCATGTATTGTGTCTCAGAGATGAAGGGAGTGATTCAGACAGCCCTCTTCACAGATGTACACCTGATGAACAGCAAGGTGGCCTACGAAACTCCCTTGGGGAACTCAGGGTTTATACTACAGTTTGCATAAATGTCTCCCAAAGGCCTGAGTGTTACAAAGCTTGAGTCCCAGGATGGCATTTTTGGGAGGCACTGGAACTTTTGACAGTGGGGCCCTGAGGCATGAGATTAGGGTGCAGCAAAGTGGCTGGACAAGCAGATGTGACTTGTCAATCATGGAGATCCAGGACATGTACAGAGCCCTGTGCCTGGTACCAATCAGAGAATGCGATCTTCAGCTCTTCTGGCACAGGATCAAGTGGGTTCTTGATAGGACAGCCTAGATCTGATGTCAGAGTGGGAGACATGGCCACTGTGAGCGTTCTCACTGGCACAAACTGCAAGCAGTTTATTTCCCTTCATACTTTAGTTGGCCTGCACTCACACTGCAGAGCACTTCTTTTTACAGACTTCTCCCTGCTTTTTTCATCTTTAACACATGTAAAACTTTGCTATTTCATTTTCTGTCCAATTTTTCATTCAGGACAAGAGTCTAGAAGGGACCCTTGAGAACACAGCATTCCAGTACTCTGCCAATAGCCTCATTGGGAGGAAACCCTTGAAGGGAACTGTGAGCCTCCAGACTCTTCTGCCTCCACTCCATCTTGGACTGGAACCTCCAGAATTGTGAATCAAAATAAACTGTTTCTCTTTATAAGTTCATGGTCTCAAGTGTTTCATTGTAGTAATGGAAAGTTGACTAAGTTTATTAATTGAAAGTCATGATCATCTCTATACGACATGTACTACTTTCATTCATTTCTTTTGTCTTTAATGTACTTTTTGAGGGAGATGGGGTTGTAATAAAGATTCAATAAAATCAACTTTGAATCACAGGCATGTTTTGTTAACTGCTGGAATAATCACGTACCATAAATTTCAGTGGCAATTACACCTTTAACAAAAATAATCAGAATTCAGGGAAGAGTTCATCCAAAAATGATTATAGATATAAGGATACCTGGAAGAAGGTGCATCTACCTCTTGTGAACAGGTGGTACAATTGTGGATGAGTTTATTTCTTTTTCTGCACTCTAATATATCTGAATTCTCTGCATTCTTAGTTTTACTCCTTAAAAAATAGAATCTACCTACATTTTGAGGGAAAATCCTTAAGCAACTGATACCTAAGCTATTTGTAGAAGAAAAAAAGATATTCAAAACTTCCCAAACAAAATGTTTTAGGACCCTTAGATTATTATGTTCGGGACAGTATCTCATAAATAAAACATTTAAGAGTTAAAAAGCAGAAACTAAATTACTGGATTTTCAGCAGGGTACTTCATTTAGGAAAGGACCACATGGCTGTACATGGTGACTCATGTCTATAATGCCAGCACTCTGGGAAGCTCAGGTAGGAGGACTGCAAGTTTGAGCTCATCTTGGAAAACCTAATGAGACCCTATCTCAAAATTAGAAAAAAAAAAAAAAAACAAAACAAAACAAAAAAAACGAAATGACAAAAAAAGGGATAGAGATGAAGACGTTGCTCAACGTGAAGGCCTTCAGTTCATTCCACAGAAACACACACACAGACACAAACAAAAGAAGGAAGAGCTGCATTTTCATTGAGCTGAACAAAACTTAATGTATAAAGAAGCAAAGCAAATGGTACTTATACACAGCAATCTCAGTACAAAGATTGGTTCCTCCCTTTTGTGAAAGTCTCACAGGGCTTTCAAAGAGCTGGTGAATAAATCAAGGAGCAGATGAACAAAGGATGCCAGAGGCTGCCTCCCCTTCAAGGGCTCACACCTGATACGTCTGACAGTGCAGCATCAGCTGGAAAAGTAGCATGTAGTAGATACCTCACACACTAAAGCCACACACAGCCTCTGCTCATCCTTGTGAACAATTTAATTCTTTTATATAATGTGAAGAGTGCTTGGGTCAGAGTGAGGAGACAACGGCAGATGTACCCCACCTGCCAAAATTGCTTTATGAATATTCCTGCATGCATGCATGGTTTTGTATTTATAGCACTTAGCTTCAGGAGACATGTTATTCACACTTTTAATATAGTCTGTCTCATCTTCCTCACTGGATTGTAGGTTCCACACAGACAGGGGTCTTTGCACATTACTGTCCTCCAAGTGCTGAGGACGGTAAAAGCACATAATGGCATCTAACATCTATTATTGAATACTCAGTTTCCAGCTGAGGGTGACAGAAGTGATGGTGGTCGCTTGTATAAGGAGGCCATCGCAAGGCTCCCCTGTCCTGGGCTCCCTTCTGGTTCTCCTTCTCCATCTGCTAAGTGCTAGGGTCCTCAGTGTGTATCACCTTGACCCTCTCCTGGCTCAAGCTCCCTGAGTAACAGTGTCCACAGTATGGCTTCACTGACCACCTGTCTTAGTTACTTTTCCTGTTGCTGAGACAAAATGCCCAACACCCAAAGTTAACAGAGGAAAACTTTATTTGACTTGAAGTTTGTAGAGGCTTCAGTCCATAGTTGGCTGGCTACAAGGCAGGAAGGTATGC